TTCCTCCGGCAAAACCCTGTGCACCAAGATACCCCGGAGATTCTCTGCACCAAGATACCCCAGAGATTCTCCATGGAGTTTAAGTCCGGGAGCATGGGGGCTATTCCAAAAAGTCTACATGATCAAAAAACATGGGCTCCCTTAGTAGATCTCTCCAATCACACGCATGCCCGTTAGGACCATCCAGATTACCCTGATTTCCGATAGAAAAGCCCGCGCCTATAATAAGTGAAAACACCTCCGCTGGTGCAGTGCACTTGCGTACATCTAGAGACAACCGTAACTTGCCCATAGGGTAATTCGATATGCTGATTACGAAAACGACATATTTTAGCGGTGGCGCCATCTGGCGCCAGTTGACGTCACCTTGCCACGACCCGGGTTTCACCAAAATCGATGTAAACTTCTGTATAGGGGTTACTTGGTGGCTTGATTAGGAATACGATATTCGTTTTTGGCTTCAGGGTTGTTCAACGTATATTTCTCGGTTGGGCAGCACAGACCAGCAGAAATATACGCCACGCGCCGGGACTGAATGCCGTATTCGCAATCAGGACACCAAACAACCCTTATACGGATGGTTACACCTTGATGAAAACAGGTGTCGCAAGGTGACGCCAAATGGCGCCAGATGGCGCCACCGCTAAAAATGAAAGTCATTTCGTAATCAGGGCATCGAATTACCTCTATAGGCAAATTTACGGTAGTTTCTAAGGTGTACAAAAGTTACACTGCACGAGCGGAGGTGTTTTTACGTGATAATCGGCGCGGGCTTATCTACTGGAAATTAGGGTAAATGTCTTTCCATCAGAAAAACCTGAACCATGTAAGAGCTTAGTAATGCACTTCGTAAGGTGAACAGGAATCACCTTCCCCAGTTTCTGAAATTTTGTAGCAAACTCGAGTTCGGCTTCGTGATAGCTCCTGGCCAAACGAGGACATTCTACTTCCTCGAAAACAGGTGACGATGAAAAGCTCGCATTACAGTGGAAGTCGATAAGTGAAATTCGTGCACAAATCTGATTAGCACTCATGGATCAACTGGAAGCCAATCCAGCGATCCGCCTGTGGCCGGCTAGCCTCAGTTTGCGTGGAGTTCTCCTTCGTGTGCGTGACCGTAAGCCGTAGGATTCTTCACATCGATGTCGTCGATGCATCGTCTGGATCGGCCGAGTTGTTCCGCGATGGCTTTGTTGCCATGTCCTGCGTGACGAAGGAATGGAAATAGGCTTGTTGTGTAGAGATGGACAACGACCCTCAGATATTGTGCACTGCTGTGGCTTTTGCAATCCTGCCAGGTCCCTACAGGAGTGGCAGTGCTGCGCAGACCAAGGAAATTTCGCAACAATGACGGGATAGCATGAACACTTAGCGCGGCGGATTTTGATTTTCTTCTTAGAAAAGGACCCTACTGCATGTCCATGCTTTGTTGAGACTCGTGTTCGCTAAGTAACTGCTGGTCAGCATTTCAGCTCGTAATGTTGCCTAACAACTCAAATAACAGAAAAATAGGGGAAGACAAGCAATTGACGGGCAGTTATGTAATGCTACATGGCTTTCAGGCTCTTATTCAAATATGCTGAATTTCTTGTTCTGTACGCTGTACCGCTTGTCATGTTGACTGTGGTCTACTCAATAATGGGGCGAGTTCTATGGGGTTCGTCGGAAGCCATTGCGAATGAGCGACAACAGGTCTGGTCAGTTTAATCTCTTGTGTGATCCATATGACGAAGTAGCATGTATTAACTACTACGTATTACTCGGAGTACCATTGCTCTATTGGTGGTGCGCTCGGCATTTTCTCGTATTCTGATATTGCAAAAAAACATTTTGGAATCCGCAGAGCAAAAAGTGCGTGTGGGACTGCACGAGCAGAAGGAAGTACCTGGGTTCTTGGTTCTTTATGTTGCATTCTCATCGCTTATCAACCAGTATGTAATAAAATCCAACCAAAACTGCGTGACATATCAGAAACGTTGTGTCGCCTTTCTGATAGCACTCAATCTACACTTTCGATTAATGCTGCATTTTAACGCCTCATCACCTTTCTCAGGGAAGAAGTACTTTCACTTGACAGACATAAGCGACTAGAATTATGTATGCACTCCTCTCTCTGTAGTTGAGCACATAATGTCGCGACGCCGGTGCGGCAAGCCTGGGGCAAGACATGAGAAACTACGATGTGGCTTGCAGCCCGGTGCAGTGATCTTGCTCCTCCCTTTGAGGGACCGACTATTACATACCGTGGAATGTACGGCATTGAATAGACTGTGTTCATCCCAATTGCCTTTTATGTATAATGTGTGATGCTTTCGTTACGGTCGGTCAGCTGTTACCGCGGCATTTCTCTTCTTCTTCTTAGCGTTGTTGTCCAACTCTTGTCGGGTACGCTTTTTCCACCAATGTTTTCCAGCGATCCCGGTTCCATGCATCGGCTGCAGACAGGTCCGCAGCATTCATGTCGTATTTCAGGTTGTCTAGCCATCGCTTTCTGGGTCGGCCTCTTGGACGTGTACCGACGAACACTATGTTGTCTACCGACTTGGACACAGCATCAGGGGGTCTTCGTAGGACATGACCGTACCAGCGGAGGCGTGAGGCAGCAAGGGTGTTGGCGATAGGTCAACTTTGATTTTGTCTCGTATGTGTTCATTCCGAATGCGGTCTAGACGCGTGTGTCCCAGGCACCATCGCAACATTTTCATCTCCATGGATCCATAGGCTCTTGCTTCGTCAGCTGTCATCTGTTTCGTTTCTGCTCCATAAACAGCTACCGGCCTCACGACTGAGGTGTATATTTTGGACTTTAGGCGTATTGGCATTTTCTTGTCACAAAGGATACAGGTGACCGTTCGCCATTTGTTCCATGCTGCATTGATTCTGGCAGTCGTGTCGGCTTTCGTGTCAGTGTTCCGCAGAGAGCATGGATCCGAGGTATGAGAATTTAGCCGTCTTTGGTAGGGGAGTTCCAGCTACAACAATTGACGATTCTGTGACCACCGTGCTCATATATTCCGTCTTGTTAATGTTGAGCTTGAGTCCGTGATCATCGAGTTGTTTCTTCCAGCGGTTGACACGTTTTTCTAACTTTCTCTTTGATCGATCCATAAGCAGCACATCGTCAGCGTAGCCCAGTGTCAGAGGCGGCTCCTTCCGGATGTTTCTCGTGGCGTAGTCCATGCAAAGGATGAAAAGTAGTGGTGAAAGGGCTGATCCTTGATGGACTCCGACGGTTACCGGAAACTGTGGGGTGTCTCCTACTGGTGTGCGAACGGCAGTGGTGGAGTTGAGGTAGGTCAGCTGTACAGCTTTGACAAGTGCTTCAGGTACTTGTTGATATCTGAGGGCTTCCCAAATGAGTTGTCGTGGCACTCTGTCGAAGGCCTTCTCCAGGTCTAAAAAGGCCATGTGGAGCGGCTTATTCCATTCCTTTGCTTTCTCCATCATCCGTCGGCAACATGAATGGCATCGGTAGTGCTGTGCTCAGGTCGAAATCCACACTGCATCCGACTTATGTTGACTATCTCCCTTAGTCTGGTGTCTAGAATTCGTTCGAAGATCTTCAAAGTGTGACACATTAGACGAATAGGACGGTAACTGGAGCAATTAGCAATGTCTCCTTTCTTCTTATAAATGGGCACTGTGATGCTTTTTGACCAATCTTTCGGAATTACTCCTTTTTCTATACAGTTGTTGAAGAGTTCCGTCAAAAAGGAATAGCCTCCAAATTGTCTCCAGACCTCTACAGGAATGTCGTCTGGCCCAGTGGCTTTCATGTTCTTCATCTTTTTGACGGCTTCTTTGACTTCATTCTCACTTATTCGTGGGATGGGTCCGTGGATCTGCGGCTCTTTTGGAGGCGGTGGATGCGGAAACTCTACGTTACAGATCTCTTGGAAATATTCTTGCCACCGATTTTTGATTTTGTTAAAATCGTACAACAGGACTCCCATCACTATCCTTGATGAACGTTGTAGTCGTAGTGAAGTCTTGTGTTGCTCTGAAGCGTCTCTTGGCAAGACTTGTAATCGTTTGCCTATTGTGTTACGTCCGTTTTTCTTTTATCGCTTTACTTATCCGTTTGGCTTCCCGCTTGGCTTCACAATATTTTACTCTATTCTCATCTGTAGGGTTGAGGTGCCAAGTTTTATACGCTTCTTCTTAGTTTCAATCGAAACTGCTACATCGTTGTTCCAAAACCAAGCAGACCGATCCGGTGCACGTCCCATTTCCTTCTTATAGCCGATTTTACTCGCATTGTTTCGGATTTCTCGAACGAGTCGTTTCCAGTCATGCTCAATGTCATCAGACCTGGCTTGCTGAATCTTCATCGATAGGTAATTTCTTTCAGTTCGTCCAAGGTCTTTGATCTTTGTTCCACCTCAGAAGCTTTTTACTGATTCTTGGCTGCATGAAGGCAGGTAAGTCTTTGGCATTCTGATCGTGGCGACAACGGGACGATGTTGGCTGCTAACGCTTATCGATGGGATTACTTTACAGTCGAGGACATCGCTTCGATGATTCCTTTTTGCCAGGATGTAGTCAATCTGTGCCTTGTGCTCTCCACCGTAATATGTGATGAGGTGTGATTCCTTCTTTTGGAAGAGTGAGTTGCAACGACTAAATCCATCGACTTTGCATATTCTAAAATTCGTGTTCCATCTTCGTTCTTTACACCATATGCAAATCGTCCTTGTGTGTCCTCGTACTGATCGTTATCAGTGCCGATATGCCCGTTGAGATCTCCCATGATGTACAGGTTTCCGTCGGCTGGAAGCGTGGAAGTTACATCGGCAAGTTGTTCCCAGAACTGATCTTTGACGGCACTGGGTAGGCTTGCTTGCGGGGCGTAAGCACAGACAAAGTGTGTGATTCTCTTGCCGAAGATCATAGCCACATAAATGATGCGGTCAGAAATCCTTTGTATATCCTTGACGGTGTGTTCTAACCTCTGTGAAACGGCGATGGCGACACCATTGACTTTCGATCGTTCTCCTTTATAATACAAACTGTATCCACCAATTCTTTTCGCCTTGGCGCCGGACCATTTTGTTTCCTGTAATGCGCAGATGTCGATGTTTCTTTCTCTGAGCATTTCTGCCACTTCGGCAGGCTCGGCCAGTCAGAGTACCAACGTTGAGGGTGGCAATCCTGATGGTCTTACGTTTGTCCTTTACGGAGGACTTCCTAGCTTGTTTGTCCATTACGGTGGACGTCCTAGCTTGACCCATTACGGTGGGTGACCTAGCATTGATCGGGATACTTGAAAAGTCCATTGATGCAGAATTTTGAAATTTGGCTATCCTCCCGAGTGAAACTCTGTTTCTTCTATCCTCTGAAGGCACCTGCCGCGTTAGCCAGCCAAAGGCCGTTGCCACGCCCACGGCACGTTGAGGCCACGGATAGGATTTGTCGGGAGCCATCATGCGCATTTCTGAAGCGATGAAAAGACCTTCCAATGAAAATATCGTTAGTTAGTCTAGATTCAGATGCCTTAGAAGTGTGCTATCTAGGCTTATTGAAGTGGAGAATTCATAATTATCACAGCATTTCTGAAGCGTACATCACGCTCGGGATAGCGAAAACTTAGGTACCTGTGTTTGTAGGCGTACCTATATTTATGAATTCAGTGCATAATATATGCATGAGACAAATGGAACGTTAGTATCGATTGCGCTTCACGCGGAATAGAGTGTAACGGCGCAGCTTTCGAAAACAAAAATCGTGAGCAAAAAGGCAGCTAGAATAATATAAGAAGCAACCAGATATTCTCATCACTTCCTACTATTCAAACAACTAAGGTATGAAGACTTTTCCAGATGGCGATATTAAAACTGCGACGATCAGTAGTGAAAATGCTTATCATTTCCATGCTTCTGTATTTCCTGTGCTACACTCCCCTTCAAGGTACCGTCTGCTTTTACGCATTCTCAGATATATAATATTCACTAATATATTGATATTATTCACTTAAATTTGATGGCCTTCCAGTAGATCTATCAAAGCGTTAACAAGATCCTTGGACGTCTCTTTTTTTGGGAAATGTACTTTGGAAAAGGCTGCGTGAACACACAACTTCGCAAGTTCCTCTACTCACTTCTAGTGGGCTCAGTTCTTATTCATGACTTGATTCTTGGTTCGTTCAAGGCTATTGAGTTTCGTGAGCTTAATAGCAGAACTAAACATATTGTGTGCGAGTGATGCGTGTAAGTAAGAACTACCACCGAAGTCCCTCGATGCACAAGCGTTTATTGCCAAGTTGAGCAAAAAAATTTAACCATGATCTGAAAAATTTAAGATGGATACGAGAACACCATCATAAGCTCGAAGGTTGACGACAAGACAAGGCAGTAGAGCAGTATGTGGCGACCCACGAGTCCTTTCATATCACGAAATTCGACCGTGAGTACTCGTCTTTTGGGAGAAATAATGCCGTTCTCTTCAACACATGTTCGTCACTGTCTATTTTACGAGTTCCGCCTGGGGCACTCAGCAAGAGGAGCCTGTCGGAATATTTGTGTATCTGGAGGACCAGACTCGCTAATGAGAATATCTATTGAAAGTGGTTCGGGAAGCTTCGCCAGGGCGACTATAACCCTGAAGACCAACCATGTTTTGGACACCCAATGACCGTAGATATTGAACGCATGCAAGAGCTTCTTGAAGGCAACCCGGCATCAGTGACCGTCAAACTGCAGTAGACCTTCAGTCCTCCCAGTGCACCATGTGTCGTTCCCTCTGAGCCATGGAGAAATTGTACACACTGGGAAGATGGAATTCTCACGAGTTGGACGAGGTGGCACGTGTGATCATCTCACAAAGTTTGCTGCATAAAAGCCGTTGTTTCGATCGGCTTGACAAGGGGTCACTGGGGTTGAGGAGTGCGCAGTCTAGCCAAGCAACCTACGGAGGCATCAGTGGGAACGTGCAGCTCAGCAGCGACAACGAGCCTCCAATAGGTGAACTTCACCCGGAGTAGGTTCCGCTCTCCATTGTAGTATTGATTCCTCACAGACTTCAACACGTTGACGACAGGCTGACGCGCATGCGCGACAGAAATTTCGCACCCGCATCGGACATTCTGAACTATGTCATTCATTTTTATTGTGCTTGCGCTCCTTCTTCTCGAGTTTTTTGTATTCATTCTATAGATAATACATTAGCATAACTATAAACCACATGGCAGCCAGAGTGGTCAAATATCCCTTGATTTAGCAAAGATTTTCTGAACGCACAAAACTTTCATTTCAATTCTTTCCTAGTATTCCTTTCACTGTCGTAAACATTCATATGAAAGATTGTAGAGCAGTCAGCCTGTATTCCTTTCACTGTCGTTAATTTATATGAAAGATTGTAGAATTAGTTAATACAAAACTCTGTGAGTTTCAATATATTTGCATTCGATGGAAGACTTAGATATAAATGCTTTTAATTTCATTCGCAGCGAAAGTGTGTTTTTTTACTTCTTCGTGGGGTAATTATGCGTTCTTCATACAAAACTACTGCTATCCTCATATAAAGTTAAGCATTAGGTGTTTTAATCCACCCTCTGCCCCCGCAGATAATTCTGTCGAGATTCCAGTTGGCTGGCTTACCATTCTAGAGGGAACAAATCAAGCGAGAAGTTCAAAGTGAGGAGGCGCGCTCGCAAAAATCGCTCCTGGTCCCACGCGTGCAAAGGAACAAACAACCGATGACGCCAACGTGGTTACCAGTACCACCACTGCTCGCGCAGACGCCTACTGGCCTTACAGGCTACCTAATGCTTCGGATATCGCAAAGTTGAGGCTTCCAGTAAATGAAATGTTCCACTGCAACACTGCAACCCACATGTATCGAGAGAATAGAATACTATACAGAAACTTGGCCTCATGATTTTCCCCACTCTTTCTAATCCACTGAGGTATAGCAACCAATCACCAGTTGCTCCGCTTGCTTGCTCGTTTCCTTAACGAGAAAAACTACGATGATGGCGACCACCTCAAAACACTGATTCTTGACGTCGAAGGTTGCGTAGTTTTGTGGAGAGGTATCCATTCACTTGCGGATAGATAGAGGACACTTGTAGACAGTTGTGGTAAATAGGGCACTTAACCAAGTGGTTCAAATGTGGTTTCGTGACTTCAAGCTCCCATTTTATATTTTTTTTGTAGATTTCAAACACTGAACGAACAACCACGACTTTCCAACTAGGCTACATGCACAGTGGCCCGGGAATTCTTTACCTTTAATAATGTAACAAAATAAAAATGAAATACGACGCCAGCGGGTTCTTATATAAACGGGAGCTAGGGTTATGTCAGAAATGAAGGGGAGGCGATAGTTTCAAATGATTCCAGCGATTGAATAATCCTCCCAATGTGAGACTCCAATAATTTTGCAGAGTGGGCATCTTGACAAACCCCATTTGAAGACAAAATGTTTTCCCCGGTTTTCCTTTATTAGCTTCCATAAAATTGGAGTCCTCAAGTATCCTCGACTTTACTAGCGCTAAAAGAGTATCGTCAATGAATACTGGAAAAAATCTATCAGTCTACGTTGGGCGTATTGCTTGGCCCATGCTGGTCCCTTCGGTATGTTCTTCAATGTCACTTCTTTATTGTTCACTATCGTTGCTGTCGCTTTTAGCCGCGTTTTGAACTGTAGCACTATGTCAGTATCCAATTCTTCTTCGAGGCAAAGAATTTTGCGCCCGCCTGTCAATTCTGTGATTCATCTGTATTTCCATTTTCCATCTCAGCATCAAATTTCAACAACAAAATGACAAACATCCCATTCACAGTCAAATCACCGCTAATTAGGATCCATAATTCTATAGAGAAACAACATGCTTCTCACCAAAAGATCTAAAATATGATGCTTTGCTCAGGACTCACGTGCTCTGAGCTTTTTGAGCATGGTCATCATAAGGGGTAAAGTTGGGTGAATATGTAGGGTGGGGTAGCCAGGTGATGCCAAGTCTTTCCAGCTCCTCCGTCGTCGTCCTCGCGTGGTGTGGTCGAGCACTGTCCATCACAATTACAAACTTTTTGTAGTCGGTGTGAACTGGGGGCTCGAGACACCATCTCTCGCAGTTGTTCACAGAATACTCTTGCCGTCACCGCAGTACCCTCGGGTATGATCTCGTAGTATATGCAGCCGGTGAAGTGGAGGAAAATTGAGATTGCCTCCTTCTTGGTGTGAGCGCATCGTTTCGAAGCCACTTGTGCCTTCGCGACCACTGACAGCCATTGCAAATTCCAGTGTGAATCATCACATGACATCTAATTTTCATCTTAAGCGAAAATCAAGTGTGTCCATGTCGTCGTTCGCTTACGGTGGAGCAGCCCTCAGTACACATCGACTAGCACTTGTCTCTCTGTTCAGTTAGGGAGTGTGGAATAACTCCGGGGAGTGCTGCACAAACGCGACTTCTGCGTAGAATCTATTGGATGTAG